AGAAATAATGCGCGATAAATCGATGAAAATGAGCCGAATGGAATGGTCAGCTACTTGTGGCTGATTCCCAATAAATGAATGTCCATCTCTTCTTCGTTTTTTTTTTCTTCTCACTAATCATCTAAAATTGTTGGTTACTTGACCAATTTTTGAATTCAATGCGATTGTTTAAAGCCCGCCAATGTCTACAAATGACTGCAGAGAAGAGAAGAGAGAGAAAAAACGGCACCAACCAACTCAAGACATTTTTAAAGAAGTTCATATATGTGCGAAATAATAAAGCATTTATCTTGAGTCGATGTGCCGTGAACACGAGAGACAAAAAACAATAACAACAGCAAGAAGCAGCGAATAAATTCCGCCAAAATCGTGCACGTGTTTATGTATGTAGAAGATTCGATGATGAGAAGCAGTGGGCACACGCTATGCATTCAGTGGCTAATAAATCATAATGGCGCGATAAATATTTCGGTTGATAACGAACTCTACACGAAGACGACGATGATGACGACGCGCTATATATGACTTGATTATAGTCACAATCTTCCAAAAGTAATAATTAATCCCGCTTTAAATTGTCGCCAATTCGTTATTTCGATGGTATGTGATTTTGCTTTTCCGGTGCTCCTTTTGTGCTCTCATTGAATTTTGATTATTTCTAAGCTACTCGAATCGCCGCTATTGATTGCTCAGCGATGTATGTAAGAATGAGCACCGTTTTAGATGTGGCCAATATATTCGATGATCGTTTAGATCGCCACACATTCAACGAATTGATTGTTAATGCAATTCACATTCCTGCCGGTGCTCAGAGAGAGAGAGAGAGAGAGAGAGAGAGAGAGAGAAGGAGAAGTTTTAGACCGCAGACCTTCAGTCACCTTTCTGGGTGGTCGGCACAGTACAAAGAGATTTTTTTGTGCATTTGGCGTCTTTTTTTATTGTTGTGAGCTTAAATGTGTATTTCATGTGTTTTTTTTCTCTTCATTCTTTTCTATTCATCCCAATTTTTTGTTCCACACACATAACGTACCGCATTCATTTTGGTTTGATCATTGGCTTTTTGTCTCTCTTGTTCATCATATTTCTATTGATAATTTCACACTACATATATTTAAATGAATCAAAGCTATCAAACGAATATACCGAAAGGGCCGAAATGACACTCGCTGCCTGATTGCGCATTGACTACTACATTTCTTCGGTGTGTGATTATGTGAATGAACAAATTGCGTTCGAACGAAAGTGAACAGATCACATTCACCTTCAGCTCTCTCTCTCTCTCTCTCTCTCTCTCTCTCTCTCTCTCTCTCTCTCTCTTTATCTCTCTCTCAACTTCCCTTACTCCCTCATTCAATTGAATCACTTAGATTAGAGAAAAGAAAAACAACTTTTGGAATTAATAAACGACCAAGTTTTACACCAAAAATATCCAGGGATTGTAATTTTATTGACATAGGAATCCCGGGTCGAACAACATTTTTGAAAATATTCAGCAAGAAATTCATCACTGCGGTAGATCATAAATAAAAGACATTAACATGCGAATTCAAGATTTTATTTCGACCCAAACTACTGACATTACGAAATTTATAGCAAGCCAAACATATTTTTCAAACTCTCACTGTGTATTTCTTGAAAATGCCTCTGAATATATAATGGAAAAGGTACATGTATATTGGAATTTTAGTCTGAATTTCGGTTTTTGGCATTCCAAGGAATCCACGAAAACACATTAATTTCAAAACTGGTGTTATTCAATCCATCAAAGTCGCATGGTGAAAGAGTTCCTTCTTCGCACTTCTATTCATCAACGACTTTTTTTGCCATTGAAAGTGTTTCATCATTTGGTTACGTTTGGGAACTTGCCCATCCATATTCTTGAGGTAGTTCAATAAAAGGAAAAAAAACACAACGACACAATGCCAGACACTTATTGAGGATGTTAAACGCATCACTTCATGATTAACAATTGTCAGCTCACTGGAATTCTATATCGATAATCGGTAAAAAAATACCGCCTCAAGGGACGCAATCACTCAAAATCATACATATCATTTCTTCAGAGCTGACATTCAATCTGACTACTGATTCTTTGCTCTCTGTTGATGGTTTTTTTTCTGTGTTTTGTTTGTTTGTTCAATGATTTTTCTAGCATAGCATTTTATGACTCCCAAATCAACTTATGGGTGCTCAATAAAAAAATTATCATCGTGCAATAGAATGGATCAGAAGTGCATTTTTTTATTACTTTTGTCAGATTTTTTATGCTTTTATAGCTCCTGATGCATCCTATTGGATGGCTTTGTGGATTTTTGTCACTAAAGCTTGTTTTTCGACGAAAAAAAAAGAACTGTTGAATGATGATATTCGATTTTGTACCTGAATGGAAATATGATAAACATCTAATTCGTCATAATGAATCGATTTGTCGGCTACTTTGCAATAGATGTAAATTTTATATCTGAACAGTCTTTTTTTATAACGAACATAGCCAACCATATCCAAAGACATGTAATAAAGATAGATGTTTAAGAAGCTACCGTATTTAACACATAGTTTTTTCTCTCTCTCTCTCTCCTCTCTTGGTCTGTCTCTCACACAAATCGAGCTTCTTCCAAGTAATTGATTTTTTTTCTCAATAGATTTCGATGGCTTCAAAGATGCCAAAAACAATATTACACATCGAAACATTTATGACGATTATTAACCAGGCTGGAGATTGGAGAAAACAAGCGAACGAAACTGAACAATTGAGTCCATGTTGATTCAAACATTTGGAACTTTATGCGAACACCATGGGGTCTTTCATAGCGGCCGTAAAACTTTTTGATACACGAACAAACCATATATTCATTTTTTGATACAAAGTTATCTGTTTGATGTCGATGCGCCTGCTTCCAATATAAATGATTCAAGAATTTTTAATTTGCAATATACCAACTGTTACAAAAACGATGAAAGATGATTTATAATCGTTGATAGCCGATATTTAACACCTACACATCATAAATTTTCACGAAGTTGTGCATATCGATGCACATGATATTGTGTACAGTATCAAAAGTGCTACTTGAAAAGGATTTATTGGGTAAAATTTTCGTCGGAACATGAAGTGTACATCTAGTAATAGTCTTCTCTTTGCTTTAGAAATTTTTGAAACTCACGACATTTCGAAAGACGAAGAAATAGAGTTGTGAATACATATGTGTAAATTTTATGCTGTTTGCTCTGTGGTTTTCATTCATAATTGATTGATGGAAATATGTGTTCATAATTTGATATGCAATATCGATATTGATATCTCTATGCATCAAGAGCTATCATACACAGATCTATAAATTATTTCGATCAGAGTATGATAGCTCTTGACATTTGATGGCTTCCGGAAGAAAAGTCATGCATTCTCTACTCTTTGAATAAGAAGAAAAACTTAATTCACTAATCTCTTGATAATTATTTGAATGAAACATGATGTCGATCTGTTTGGTGAGTATGAGGTAATTGAACTAGTTTTTGGTGGTTAGCAAAGGCGGTTTTAAAATGAGCCAAAATGACACCGAACCCACTAATTTAATAGGCAACTGTAATTAGATTTTTCGGGTTTCGACGTTTCGTTTTATGCATTTTTTTTGTAATTAACGTGTAATTTATGTGGAGGATATTCATTAAACATTCGAGCAAAAGCGATAATTTTAACGATATTCAACCCACATAAAACAGTGTCCCTATTTTTCTTTCTATGAGTGCCACCATTTTTCACATACCCCGTCAAGAAGTAAAAAAAAACGGTTTGGTTATGAATAAAAGCGAAAAAAAATCTGCTTGAATATTATTCATCTGCATGAATATAATTTTTCTCTCTATCTCTCTCTCTCTCTCTCTCTCTCTCTCTCTCTCTCTCGCACTCGCCAAACATTTGTTGTTAATGACCTCACACATAATAATCCCAATGAAGAATGTGTTACGCATATATGAATGGAGGGAAAAATGATATAAAAATTCAAATGAACTGTACATGTACTTAGGCCTCCATAGACAAAATGGGTAAAAAAAGCGATTGTAGATTTACACATATTTTTAATTTTTCGGTTATTCATTTCGAGTAAAAAATTGTCGAAACACAATCGTAAAAAAATCGTCGTATTAACTCCACCCGTTGAGTGCGGTTCGGCTCACGGCAAATGTATTTGATCATCCAATCGGGCTGATCCGTCGGCATGATCACACACCGTAAACTCGTTGGTACATTGAAATGAAAACCGTTTGTGCAAAGCCGCGCGCTACCGACACATTCCATACACGAACGTAACAATTTTCATTTCCAAATGAAAAGTCATTGTGGCTAGAAATCAAAGCAATCGATTGGGCGGAGCTTCGAAACTAGCATATTGTAGTGTTAGTTATGAGAGTAAAATGTTTCGTAAAAACAACCGACGAAAATAAACAAAGCAAACGATGAACGAATGCCACCGCCTTTTCTTTTGGTTTCTCTTTTGCGTTTTTGTGTTTCTCTACATTTTGACTGTTGAAGCGGCCTGTTACTGAAGTTTACTTTCGGAAAAATGAATAGTACCCAAATATAGCGCTAAAGCTGAACACCAGAAAGAGACAAACGGATCGAGCCGACAAGAAGCGATCGTGATCGGTTTACTCCCGACCATTTACACACTCACACACTTACGCACACACAAACACGCACACATGGAACTGACTTGCATTCGGGTGCACTCCATTCTTGACATTGCCAAAGGAAGCAGCAACACATGGCTTCCAATTGCACAAACACATATACCAGCAAAGAGCAAGAGAATCGAAAGACTAAGAATAGAAAAGCAAAACAAAAACAAAACCGAAAGAACAACATATTGTTATATAGCCGATGGTTGTGCACACGAAGAGATCGATTGACTTAAAGACTTCATAAGTGTACTTTCCGACGACGATCGACGCAGAGAAAAAGTAACCTGTTGGTGAACGAACCAAGTCAGTAAGGTGCGGTCAGTCCTACGGGAAACATCAGTCGCAGCAAAAATAAAAATTGTACTTTATTTTCAACTTCAACTCTCGCAAGTTAACAATATTTTCTTGGAGTTTATCTTTTGCCCAATTTGTGTCGTGCATTTTCGTGATAATATTTAAACTGAGGAACAAATACATTTAGAAAAAAATAACAAAAAAAAAACAAAAACTGAAGCAGAACAATATCAAAATCCAAACGGTGATAACACAGTGAAAAAAAAGTGTGACAATTAATCACAGTGATTACGCGTGCACAAAAACAAAATCAAAAAAACAATCATGGTATCAACATTGAATATGTCACAATACATGCCTGGATATCCCTTTCACGGTAATTAAAAACACTTATCTCTTCTTATTTCGGTTCGATATTGTGCAAAACCTGAGGATAATGGAATCGCGTGGGACCACAGTTTTTTCCACTATTCGCATAAATTCTCCACTAAGTGCAGATTCCATTATTTACTGGTTCCGCTCATTTCCATTTCATTTTATCATCAGCATCAGCGTTTAAGAATTCAAAGTGAACATTGAAATTCTAAAATAAAATCGAAATTGTTTGGTTTGTCAAAATGTGGCAATGGTAAAACTTGGAATAGTTTTATTTTGTATTCCTCCAAGATTCAATCAATAGACATTTTTTATGTTGGTATTTTTGTTTGGTACGTGTAAACTACTTTACAATCATCAAATATGTCTGTTAAACTTTTTTTCGGCTACTGTTTTTTTTTCAGTGGTCCATTGTGCGGCGATCGATTTCAATTTCTTTTCATGTTTTCAATTTACTTTCCATTACGATTTCGGCGCGCGGTTTTTTTCCTATTTGCTTTCATTCTTTTTTCAATTTTTATTGTTGTTCGAAACGATGTTGTTTGCAATTCAATTTCTGAACGATCTGAACTGTCTGCAGAAGTGTTTGTTTGGAAGGTGCAATGATCGCAAGAAAAGAAAAGAAAAGTAGGCAAAATAAAATGAATTCCATTCAAGTATGTATTTGATGGAAAATCTTTGTGTGCGGCATTTTCTTTTTCTGCTCTCTCTCTCTCTCTCTCTCTCTCTCTCTCTCTCTCTCTCTCTCTC